TGTGACATGCAATTTACTTACATAACAAACCTGCACGTGTACCCCTGAACCTAAAATCAAAGCTAAAAAAGAAAAACACTGCAAAGTGAAATGAGATTTCTCTTTAAATAATGTAGTATTGGAAGCCTCAATGATTCAGTGATATTGGAGGAGTGACAATGTTTAGTGTTGATACCTGAGAAAGAGTAATCCAAGAAGAAGGGACACAATCATGAAGTCCCTGAGCCAATGCTTGTCATATTCCAGAAATGACACAAAGGCCAGTGTTGCTAGCATGCGATGAGCCAGGTGTTTCAGGACAGACAGGCAGACAAAATCAGATCTTTCAGATGATTATAAGATTTTGTAAAGATTTGGTCTTTACTCTGAATTAGATAAAAGCCATTGAAAAATCTGGAGCAGAAGAATGGCACGATCAAATTTGCGTTTTCACAGGCTCTGGTTGCTACCTTGAGAACACATCAGAATAAAAGGATGGGCAGAACTAGAAAGAATAATTAGAAGCTGATAGCAAATATCCTTTCAAAATATGAAGAAGCTTATATGAGTATGGCAGAGTGATGACAGGGGATTGGATTCTGCATGTTTTTGAAGATAGAGTCAACAAAATTTGCTGATGTCTTAGAGATGAGTTCTGAAAGAGAGAAAATGTTGACTCCATTTTTTTTTAGTCTAAGCATCTGAAAGTCTGAAGTGGTTTTTAACAGCAGAGGGAAAGACTATAGAAGAAACAGATTTGAAAACTGGAGGGAAGATCAGTATTTTGATTTGGACATGTTAGTTCAAGTTCTTGTTAACACAACCAAATAAAGATGTCAAATAGTCTATTAGAGAATGGATTCTGGAGACCAGGGTTGAGATCTGAGCTGAAGGATTAAATGTTGGCATCATCAAGACACAGAAAGTAAGTAAGACCATGACTAGATGAACTTACCTAAGAAATGGGAGTAAAAAGAGAAGGAAAAAGACATAAATTTAAACTCTTATTTCATATCATCCACAAAAATTAACTCATAAGTAAATGATCATAGAGAAAAACTTAAGAAATGAGATATTGACAGATACTGAGACATTGTACAAAATGCAAGAAATAAAAAATGGGTTAGTAAATCATAATTCTATCTATGAATTACTTTGCTGATATCATTATGTAATTATATATAGATTATTATATACTTAAAATCTTCTGCCTATCAATCTATCAATATCTACATTGCTATTTTAAATAAAACTAAATTGGATACAGAGTCACCATAACTCTAAATAGGTAGAAATTCAAGTAAAAACATTATTGTTGCTCCCACCTTCTCCCTAGATTTTTGGTCATATTATTTTTAAATGTAACTTTGACATTTGAAGAAAAAAGAGTTTACATAATTTGTCATATGTAAATAGATGTACATAAATACATAATATATATGAATATGTAAATGAATAACCTTATTCCTCTCTATTGAACCGTTTGGCTAAATTATCAGTAAGGGGAGTGCATGAAATCACCAACAAAACAAGCATGATTGATTAAAGATTATAGAATTCAGACCTTGGACAGTGTGATATTTTCAGTTTAAAGACAAGGGGGAGAACTAGCAAAGGAGACTGAGAGGTGGTGCCCAGTGAACAAGGATAAAATCAGAAGACGGCAGCATCTTCAAATGCAAATAAATTACATTCAATACTGCTAACAGAGCATGCAACATGAAGACTAACCATTGACAAGGCAACACACCTCACTGGTGATCTTACAAATGTCAGATTTAATGGAGTGGTGACAGCAACGTCCTCACTGGAATGGGTTGAATGGCCAATAGTTGAAGAGGCTGTGTACTTTGCTAAATAATTATTAACAAAGAGGAAAACAGAGTTGAAAAAGCTGAGTCCTGGGGTCAGCCTCTGATGTGAAAAATCAAAGACTCTCAGCCAGTTCTCAGAACTGAGCCAATTAGAGAAGCAGAGATAAATGACTGAAAGAAATCTTAAGTCCTCCTGATAATGAACAATGGAGGTGGTGTTACATTTTATATTCCTATTCAGTCAACCTTTCTGGCCTCTTCCAAAACCAGATGGATTATAGAATGAATGCACATTAGCAGAAACTTAAATTGCACTTGAAGATGCTCTCTAGAATGTGATATCTTTACGGAGCAGAACGTGGTTTCTGGAACTTTGTATGTGGCTTTTGATTTGATGAATGCTTTTTAATCTAGATCCATTGTGAGAGAAAATCAAAACAATTTGTTTGGTGTGGTAAGAACAAAACCACTGCTTCACTGTTTTATGTCAGGGCTATGTCACTTCTGTTTTCAGTTTAATTGGCATTTTGCAAAACATCATCCTAACTCAATATATTAATAATATTACTTTAATTGGTACCCATAAGCAGGAAGTGGTAAGTTCCTTAAACATAGTAAAATAGTATAAAATTTAAAAAAGTAAAATACCAGAAAAAGAGATATATAAACTTCAGCAGATTCAGGGACTTGTAATACATAGTGCTTTTAGAGGTCCAATGCTCCTGGTCCTTGTGTCAAAACATCCTTTTTAAAGTAAATGGCATGTTGTCTGGTATATAATTCCTCTCACAAAAGAAAAGGCACAGTGTTTTGGGGCCTATTGGGATTTTGGAGTCAACATATTCCACATTTCAGGATATTGTTCTGATTCACTATTGGAGTTTCCAAAGGCTACTGGTCTCAAGTGGAACCCAGAACAAAAAAGAGTTCTATAGAAGATATAGGCTCTGGCCCAAGCTGTTCTGCCCATTGATAATGCAGCAGAACTCAAACCTGCTAGAGGCATGCATAGTGGGCATTAGAGGACTCTGTGCAAGTCTATGACAAATCCATAGGAGAGGGGAGAGCAAACCCCTAGGGAATTAATGCAAAACCATTTCCTCTTCAGCAGAAGAGTGCCCTCTGTCTAAAAAACAAAACAGCAGGTCCAGAAGATTAATCCAATCATAAAGCCCCTCTAAGCATGAATGCCTCTAAGCACAAGACACTGTGCAACTGTGGAAATCATATGCCCATAAAGCCAGGCATGTTTGGAATACATGAGCAATGCAGAGTGGTACAAGGAGTAGACAGTATTGGACACAAACATGTGCTTCCTCAGATTCACTGGACTGTCTCCTTCTCTCTTGGCCAGGACCTTGCCTGATCCAGATCATCCTTCCTATTGGGGCTTGAATGGATCACCACACTGTGGGATGACGTCTGACTTTCATAACAGCCACCAAGGGACTGGATGATGGAAGGCAGAACAGTAGAGATGGTAGTTCTGCCTCAGGTGAACCCTGGCCAATGGGAAATCGACAACAGAAGACAGCTGAGCAGATACATTGTCCCTCCTCTCTCATGTCCATGGACTCGTGCTGGCTATGGTTTCCCCTTGTAGCCATTCTGGAAGTGTAGTGGAAGCCAAGTGTACACATCTGATGACCACCATGCTATCTCTCTCACCTTATTGTGAAATGGCCACAACACAGTCACATACACACAACACATTGTTACAATACATCACAACACATTGCTTGACATCTGCTCTTGCCTCAATTTCCATGTGTCCCCACCATTGCTGCCCTGGTCTTACCTTCCAAATAAATGTCATCACTTTATATCAGACATTGTGTTCTAGACCCCAAAGCTATTTATTCAGTGGCATAATTATTATTGATTCATTTTTCTGTGAATTTATAATATGGCAATTAAAATGTTCATTTAGAAAGGATATTAAAATATTATATAAAAATCACATTTTAGTAAGGTCATTGATAACTAAATTTTAAAAAATGAATAGCTATTTTTGTTACATAATAACCAGCTAGAAATATCACAATACAAACATATCATTCACAATTGAAAAAATATATGCAAATATCCAAAAATCTTTTATGTGCTTTTTTTAAAGGTATTGTAATAGGTGCCATCTTATTTAGATGTTCAACCTTGTCTCCATCCATATCTTTCATCTGATGTAGTTGAATTGAGGCTATATTATAGTGATATTTCCCTTACAATTATGGAATAGCCACACTTTTATTCTGAGAAATGTTTCTTCTTAGATAATCCTGTAATCTCAACCAGAAACCAGAATAGGAAAATTCATGCAACTGTAGATTTTGTGATGTTTCATTTCTCTTGGTTCACCACCCCGAAATATATAATTTATTCATGTATTTACTAATTTATTTGTTCATCAAAATACTTTTGGATATCTATCTTTTGTGCTATCTTTTAAGTCCTAGGAGTCAACAGTAAGCAAGATCTCAATGATCTCTGCTTTTATGGTGCTTACGGTGTACCAGGAAAGATGTATGATAAGTAAATAACTAAATCAGATGATTTATCTAAAGGTTTCAATAACACTGTTAAAATTTCATAACCCCAAGAATTAACACAGTCTGTAGAATTTACTTGTTTAAAGCTGTTATATATTTTCTTCCTATAATGGAGCTTGCTGTCACTTAATATGTCAACACACTTTATCTCACTGCATTATTTGCAACTAGATTATAATAAAACAAATATTTAAGTCATTTCCTATCATCAATACATAGATTTCATAGATGTCATTTTAACATTTGCAGAAGGTTTAATTCAATGATTTTAATAATTTCTATACTATTTTTACATTGATTATTTTTAAGTAATAAAGATTTGAGTTCATTTATGTGATGTTTACAAAGAATTTTAAATGTGGAAGTTATTGAAGATAATTGGCAATTCAGGGACTCTCAGGTGGTTTAGAAATAAAACTAAAATATTTGACATCAGATCTCAACTTCAAAAAAGGTTTTCTTCACCTCAAAAACTGGAAGAAATGACCTTTCTAACTGTATATGGAGACTTATGACAGCACTTGAGGTCATCAATGTGTTTCTGTCCCAATTACAGAAATGACTTTTTTCTCAGTTGTTCACATATTTGTATAAAATTGAATATTCCTCAGTACTGTTTACAATAGACATATACAAAATTTATTCCAAATATATTTTTCATCCTTGAATTTTATTGTGAGCATAGTTTTCTAACAATAATTACTTGCTTTAAACTAAACATAAAATTAGAATTCATGATGAAATAGAAACTACTCCAAAGATAAAACCTCATTATTGATTTAGAATAGAATTCTCATACCATCCCAAAAACTAGATGTTCACATAATGATGTTCAAGCACACTATGGTACACATGTATGATACAAATAACAGTGGAAAAGTGCAACATTTTGTGAACTAAGCTGTAAGTTCTTAACAATTATAAATGGAGATCATAAATTTTTCAAATAAGACATGATAATATGAAATGTATATGTGAAATACACATGGCTTCATGATTTTGAAAAATTTCTTACCATATTTTCTATAATTTGGCAGTTTGTAAAAAATGATTAAGATTATGTTATTGTCACTGTCTCTTAAGAGTTTCATATACACATACACATGCATATATGGATACTTTTTTAGGCTAACTTTAGGTAAAAGACTTTTCTAGGTCTACTTTTGGAAATTACTGAAAGATATACACTACAAAAAAGCCAGCAGAAAGTATAAAATGTTCCAGACACTATCAGTTTGTTTTATCTTGGAGACACACGATGTCCCACTTGTGAACCCAGAAATTTGAGAGTTTCTGGTCTTTTACTCAGCACCTACTCTGACACAAAATCAAAAGGAAGGTCTGTTTTAGCTTCTTGCTTCCCCAAATTAGGATGAATGAATGAAATGAAGGACATATAATTGCAGTAATTTGGCACAGCATGAGGACAGGTTCATTCTGCAGCGTGCTTCTAAGATGCCAAATTGACGTGGTTAGGGACAGAAAATAAATAACAAATAACAAGAGGAAGGAGATCACAGTTTGCAAAGCTTTTATGTGGACCTTGATGTTGAGATCTGTAGATCCTTTGCCATGGAGCTGCATCTTCTTGAGATGTTTGCTCAGAGAACAGATTAACAGGAGAAAAGATGTCAGGGATAGAGTAAAGGGTATTAAGTTTGTAAGTGTGCTTACAGTCATGTCAGACAGATGCGTTGTATCACTCAATTTGATCTTCCAACTCACATTTCCTTCATATTCTTTTGTCCACACACTCTCATCCATGTTTAACATGACAAGATGACAAACCAAAAATAACAAAGCCCCGAATAGCATCACTGGAATGACACTCTTAAGTCTCCTCTTCAGGTGAAGAAAAATAAAGTTGGAGAAATTGGCAATCTTGAACAAATAAAATATGCTGAGGCTAGTAGCAAGCCAGTTGCTGAAATGGTTGGTTACTGCCCAGGCATTATAAACAGTAATTCTTGCTTCTAAACTAAACAAATCTGGATTAAACACAGTTGAATACCAATGTAGTAATATTACCCAGAGCAAACCAACTCTGGAGACCACCAGAGCAGTGAGAATTTGGTCAGCAAAGGAGATCTTTTGCCTCTTGACCCAGTCAATGGAATTTACCAATGCTATGAAGCCATTAGCAAAATTTCCAAGAACAAATGTAACCACTACTAGAATGGAAAAAATAATGGGTAGAAAAGTTACCATGTCTGAACAGACAAAAAGACAGAAAAAATGAAAGCCTAACAACACTGGCTGTGATTCCTTTAATACCCTGAGCTTAAATTTTATATGCACCTGATTTCTGAATCTGCAGTAACATTCTTTTTACTTTCAAATACTGTGACCAGTGTCAAACAAGAAAGTACCATTTAATGCTAATTGATGAGCTCAAAAAATGTATTTATGGAAAACATTCTAATGTTCAAACAGCTCAACTTAACTCATTCATTCAATGACTATTCTTGTTAGAGACTGGAAATATTCAACTGAAGTTGAAGTGAAGCCTGAATTTTCATTTGCCAGCATGCAAATAAAGACATATTCTCTTTCAATGTTTTATAATGTTTTCCTCGTTTCACATCTCCATAATTTGTGTTCAGCAACTTTAGCTATTGGTTATGGAAATTTTACTACATAGTTCATAAAGTAAATGTCTAAATTCTTAAAGGGAGATTAGTCATAACTAGGATCATCACCATGACCAATTTTATGCTAGATTTAAATAGACAAAATCCAAAATTTTTAATCCAAATCATCCAAAGTTTTCTTGAGAACCATGGGAAGGTCAATACACCTTAAAATCTTATTCCTGCTAACCAGTACTTTTGTATGATGTTATTGTCAACAAGCTCATAAAACATACACAGACAGACAGACACACACACACACACACACACACACACACACACATACACACACCCCTCCAGAAAAAAAGGAATATCCAAAATAATTTACAAAATGGAAAATGAGTTTCCAGGAGATCATCCTGGTAAAATTAGTCCTTTTTTCCCACTCAGGGTTTTTAACGCATAAAAATATGTCAAACATATCTCTCATGCTTAGACCTTTGATAAAGTTACTCTCGTCTATTTAATGTCTAAATATTTGTTATTTTATTAAAATATTCATCACTTTTAGAAATATTTCTGAGTATCAATTCTTTGACATATAATCTTGCAGTATTTTATCACCACAGACAGGGTGACTACTTTGCTCCTGGACTCAGGGCACTCACATAACTTGCTTTGATTAAGAGAAAATTGGTAAACTTCACACAGAGATTTGAGATGGCATCCACACTGAAGTTTCTTTTTCTTTTCTATTTATTTTGAGAACATCACCTGGCTACTACACTATTCCCAGAAGGAGAATGAGAAAATAATGGAGTCAGTTTGCCTCTGCCTGATCCAGCCTAAATTGGCCAAAGTCTAACTAGTTCCAAGATGCAGAACTTGGCCCATCTCAAATTACCAGAGCCATCCACCAAACCCAGCTTAGGAAAGCCGAATCCAAAGATATGTGAGATATCAATATGTAACGTAGTTTTGTAGAGGTTGCAGAAAAACCTAATTGATATAGGTACTCTGCTAAACCAAGAGTGTGGGAAATATGTCCACCCTTGTTGTATCAGTAATACAGGAACCAAAAGAAAAATAGATGAGGAATGACAAAGTTTTGACCTGCAAGGTAGATAATTAAAGGTAGAAAACACCTTTAGAAAGATCTGTGTACTGCAGGTAACATCTCCTCTTGTTTCTACACGTTGTAGCTAAAATAAAGTTTGTACTTCAACTCTCTTAGAGTTGTATATAAAGATACATAAATGGTGAATTTTTTCCTAGGTATGTAATGAGCAGAGTAATCAATAATTTTTATGGTGCACTTCTCCTAAATATTTTTCAAATAAAAGTATAATGCACACTTAGAAATGAGTCAAAATAACAATGGTAAACACAGCAATGTATCATAAACATTCATGTAATCATCACATAGGGCAAGACATGGAACATTACAAAGAGCCTAGGGCTACTCCCATGCTGCTTTTCAAGCCCCTAAATGTTTCTTCACATCTGCTGAGGTAAGCAATACCCATAATTTACGATGATCATTTCCTTGGTTTTCTTTATGCCTTACCAACTAGGTATGCAACCCTAAACTCCTTAACATGGTTTTGCCTACTTTAAACCATACATAGGTGTAGTTCTGTAGGTTCTTGTTCATAGCTTCTTGGACTCAATACTATGTTTCTGAAATTTGGTCACTTAGTCTGTGGCCATACCACTCTGAATGTACCTGATCTTCTCTGAAGTTTAGTCACATAGTCACATGTATCTGTGATCTATATCTTTTCACTTATCCATATTGTTCCATTATACAGATTTACTGTAGTGATTCATCCATCCTTAGTTGATGTATATTTGGGGGATTTTCCTTTTTGAGCAGTCATGAATAATGCTACTATGAGCATGCTTTCATATATCATTTGATGCAATTCCTTTGGATATCCAATTACTAGTAGAATTACAGGGTCTTTGAATATGATCTTTGAATTCGCTTCACAGACAGAAAAGTCCAAAAGATGATTTAACTAATTTTACTCTTTTTACCTTTACCTCCAGTCTACATATAGCTATTTGTATATATCTTATCAATTATACCATTAACCCAAGAAGACACTATTATTTTATACAATTAAAATTGATTTAGAATTATGTACATATTTACCACTTTTGCTATTTTTATACCTTCCTGAATGTTCAACTTTGTATTTTTGGTACTTTTCCTTTTATCTAGAAAACATTATTTTTAATTTCTGTTTATGAAGCTCTGCTATTCCTTTGAAACACACTGAAGTTATGTTCCATTGAATTCTAGCTTTGATTTTGTCTGTTGAAAATCTGATTGTCATTTGGACAGTTTTTCCTTTTCACATAATCTTTTTTCTCTACCTACTTTTCAGATATTCTATTGGTCTTTGATGACCCATGGCATTTGTATCTCAATTCATTTTTAATTATCTTGTCTGACGTTTGATGGCTTATAAAAACATATGGATGAACCAGAATAACCAAAGCTATCTTAAGCAAAAAGAGCAAAACTGGACAAATCACATTACTTGACTTCAAGTTATACTACAGAGCTATAGTAACCAAAACCACATGGCACTGCATAAAAACAGACGCACAGAACAACAGAACAAAATAGAGAACCTAGAAACAAGTCCACACACCTAGAGTGAACTCAGGTTTGACAAAGTGCTAAGAATATACACTGGGGAAAAAACAGTCTCTTCACTTAATAGTGCTGAGAAAACTGGATATTCTTATGCAGAAGAATGAAACTAGACTCCTATCTATCACCACATACGAAAATCAAATCAAAATAGATTAAAAACGTAAAATCTAAGACCTCAAACTATGAGACTACCGTAAGAAAACACAGGGCGAAATCTTCAGGACATTGATCTCAGCAAAAATTTCTTGAGCAATGACCCACAAGTACAGGCAACAAATCAAAAATGGACAATTGCGATCACATCAAGTTTAAAAACTTCTGCACAGCAAAGGATACAATCAACAAAATGAAGAGACAATGCATAGAGTGGGAGAAAACTATCATATTACAAAGGATTTGCAAACTACCATCTAACAAAGGGATTAACAACTAGAATATGCAAAGGGTTGAATCTACTCTATAGGAAAAAATATATATTAATCAGATAAAAAAGAGCAAATGATTTGAATAGACATAGCTCAAAATAGGATATACAAATGGCAAGCAGGCATATGAAAAGTTGTTCAAGATCATTGATCATGAGAGAAATACAAATCAAAACTAGAATGAGATATCATCTCACCGCAGTTAAATGGCTTATATTCAAAAGACAGGCAATAACAAATGCTAGTGAGGATGTGGAGAAAAGGGAATCCTTCCCTGTTGGTGAGAATGTAGATTAGTACAATCACTATGGAGAACAGTTTGGAGGTTCCTCAAAAACAAAAACAAAAACAAAAAAACCTAAAAATAGAGCTACCATATGATCCAGCAATGCCACTGCTGGGTATATACCCAAAAGAAAGGAAATCAGTATATCAGAAAGATATCTGTACTCCTATGTCTGTTGCAGCACTGCTTATGGTAGCTAAGATTTGGAAGCAACCTGGGTGTTCATCAACAGATGAATGGATAAAGAAAATGTAACACAGCTAGTGCTCGACTTATGACCACGATTGGTTCTGACAGACCGGTCTAACACGATTTGGTCGAAAGTTGAGTAGGCTATATGTACAGTACTGTGAAATGATGTTATAAAAATCTTTAAGTCATATTTTATCAAAATTTTCTTTCATTATTGTTATATATCATAATTTTCTTTGTTCATTTTATGCCATTTGTATCATCTCTACACCATTTTGTTTCTTATTTTTACATTCATCAGGTTTAAGTAAAACACTGCATTACCAGTACAACTGGTTTAATATTTGCAAAACATACAAAATTACAAAATACAGGTGCATACAAAAATACAAAATACAGGTGTAAAAAATACCATAGGAAACATTTTCCCAATTGCAAAACATATCAAAATATATAAACATGTATGAAACATTTTATTGGCCGCTGGTGCTTGGCTGTGGATCATTGATGTCGTCATCTGAGGCAGCAGTTGGGGTTACTGGAGTTGGTTTTTTCATAAACATGGTGAGCTTTGTCTGAATTGTATGTTTCTTTTTTTCTTCGTAAATTTCATGATACGGACGAAACACATCGTGTGCCATTCGTTCAATCCTTGCAAATCGTTCGATGTTTGGGTCCATTGTTTCAAAATGTATAAGAAGTTTATTCAGTAAAGATAAACTGTCTGATAATCCCTTAGTGGTGAACTTTCTTTCTGGCTCCTCCTCTTCTTTCTCTGTTCTCTTCTTTCTTCTTCCGCCACTCTTTCTTCTTCCAGTTCGATTAGCTCTTCATTTGTAAGTTCTCCAGATTCTTTGTCTAGTAACTCTTCGACATCTTCCATTTCACATTCCAAAGAAAGGTCTTTAGTGAGTTTTACTATTTTTTCCCGAATCATTTCAAGTTCATGTTCACTGTCAAATCTGTCAAAATCATTAACATAGCGCTTAACACAATTTTTCCAGATGCCATTCATGCACTTTGTCGTCACAGCCTCCCAGGCGGTAGCAATATTCTTGATACACATCAAAATGTTGTAGTGTTTCCAAAAATCTCGCAATGTTAGTTCTGAGTCAGCATCTACAGCGGACATTGCTTGAGCGAAGGTGATTCAGAGATAGTTGGCCTTTAACGTGGCAATCAAACCTTGGTCCATAGGCTGGATGAGTGGAGTTGTGTTTGGCG